TTGTCATCGACAATAGGGACGCACCACTCATACAGGCCGAGGGTCTCGAGTTGGAGAACCTGGTGAAGGGCCGACAGTTTTTGGACAACCATTTCCAGGCCTACGTCAACAGTGTTGAGCATCTGGTCAATGGGGATGTCGTGAACACCCGCTCCGACCTCAACAACAGAGAGTGTTATCACAAGTTTGTCGACACTTTCAACGACAAGTGTATGAATATCGCTGAGGTATGTGTGGAAACACCTATTTTTAGTAAATTAGACAAAAATATATTTAGATTTAATAGTAATTATGTTAAGTAATAATACAAATATATTTATAAAATTAGTAAGCTTGCTATGATATTTTAAATATTCATAATTAAGTTGGTGAATGCACATTTTACATTTATAGGATTTGTATACAGTTTACATATTTTAATTTATTTAGTCTATTTTGTTGCTTAACTGTTTGAATAGCTATTTATGATTTAAAACATTTTATAAAAAACAATTTTATTTTATATAATTTTACTCAAAAAGTAATAGCACATCTAAACAAATAGCAATATTTTAGTATATTTAGAAAACCACAAAAATATTTTAATATTTAAATGTTAGAACTATTTTAAGTATTATATTTAAATGTTGTAATTTTAAAAATCTTTTAATATAGTCAAGGATCTTTTAAATAATATAAAACAATTACTAAATTTACTACAAATTTTAATTAACATAATTTTAATTCAATTCCTATAGAATTCATATGTTTTGGGCAAACTCTACCAGTTTGTGAACATCTGTGAACAAAGCTCGGCTACCGGTGCTGAGGCCGCCCTCACCCAACTGGTCTCATACTGCCAACAAGAGATGCAGTACCCTGCTTATATTCTATAAGAATATTACGTATTGTACATTATGTAAAAATCAATGCATAATAAAATAATAAAATAATAATTATATAAAAAATAACTTGTTAAATTAATTTATACCATATTAAAACATCAAAGTAAATCACAGATAAGGCATTTAATTAAGTAACAGTTGATTTATCAAAATTATTAGTTTAATAAATAGCTGTAATATTTAAACTATTTATTCATATGGTAATATTACCAATTCAAAATATGAGTTTATAATATACAAAAAGATGAATCGATGAATAAAAATGAATGACTATTGATAAATAATTTTACATTGAAAGCAGAGTTTACTCATTCAAACTAATAACAGTTTTCAAACTTAGCTTACATTCATCACAAATTATTTATGAATAGTCATTCATTTTTATTCATCGATTGATATTTTTGTATATTATAAACTCATATATTAATTTGGGAAAACTACGATTAATATTTTAATTTTTAAAAACAATAGCCTAGGTTGTCGAGTTTTGGAGGACATTGTAAAGGGATTATAGTTTTTGGCCAACCATATAATTGTACAAGAATGCTATCAAGAATTCCAGTGTCCAGCCTATATTTATTAATATTACATGTATGTCATTTTAAAAATTTATAGATTGTAATATAAATAAATAAATAAATTAAATTAGTGTATCATTTAATAAATTAAATAATTTAACAAGGAATTCATTAGTTTTCTGAGCCAAAAACAAATAGGAATATTGTGTAGTGTTGTACCTGGGTGATGGTTTGGTTAGGTTTTAAATTAGGGCTTTTACTATGACCAGGATACAATTTTGACAAACTTTTGCCCACCGACATCACCGTCTACTCTACCACTGCCTACAACCCCAAGGGGTCCAGCTATGCCTACTACGATGACACCCGGGTTAAGGCTGCCCTTGGGAGGTTTAAGTTTAGTTCAAAATAATTTAACTATTAATCATAAAATGTAAAATTTAGCAGGTACCAATCTCATCCGAGCAAACTTATTTATAACTGAATTAGCAATTTAAGGTAAAAATAAATTATATTAAAGTTATAATACCATAAAGATACCAATACCATAAGATGTGTAATTTAGCATGGTGAGACTATCTCTAAATAGGTTATTTAAAAGCCTGGCTGCAAAGTTTCAATATGCATTATATATAAATTAACACGATAAGAAAGTATAGTTTTATTAACGGTTTAAATAAATTCTGACCACGGTGTATATTAAAACAAAAAATATTATCATTTATGAAATGGTAAATATAATATAAATATGAATACACTAGTTTATTAACTTGAATTATTATTTGTAATAAAATTATTCTGTTATTTAAATAACAATTTTTGAAAATATGCTTAAACACAAATCGTAAGTATTTGTAATTCTTGTCATAGATAATCAGATTGTCATTATAATAATATTATTTATTAAGTAAAACATTAAATACTCAACAATATTTTATAACTTATATACAATTTTTTAAATTTCATAATTAGTTATTTAACTTTTTAAATTTATAACTAACAGATAACTTTATTTAATAATAATTGCTACAATAGTTTATTTAAACATAAGCAAATTTCGTATATAATATAAGCAGGGTAAGCCATGTTTTGTTGGCAGTAGGACACCAGTTGGGTGAAGGCAGCCTCGGCACCTATAGGTGAGCTCTGTTTGCCTACCTCATATGAAAAAACTTGGTTACCGTTGGATAATATTTCTATAATTTAAACTGGCATAATGTTGTCAACATAGTAAATAGGTTATGAAATTTATTAAGTTAAAAAAATGTTTGAGTTAAATATTTCATTTATGATATCGAGGTTTTAATGTAATAAAGTTACAAATTAACATATTATTATTATTATAGTGTTTAAAATATTTATTTTTAGTTTTAATATTTTTAAAAAATACTGAAGAGCTAAATAATTGGGTTTATTGGGTGAACCATATTATCTGGAAAATAGTGATTATATTTCCGTTGAATCCAACCCCAGAATCGACTGTTAATTATCCAAATAAGCAAATCCTTGCCATTAGTGCCAAACCACACACCAAGCAGTCCTCCAATATATGACATACAGTCGATAAATGTCTGCACCGGTTGTTCCCTATAGTTAAACATGGGTTGACTCGAGTCCCAAACCAATGGTGTCTTTATAAACCCGTTTCTAAGACTCATTTGTTCATCAATTGGTGTCTCACTCGACACGACTCGTGCGCTATACTCAACGCTCACACAATCTTTGGGACAATCTTTTAGACACATTTCCCTTATATTATAAGTTTTATTATTGACCACAAGTGGGACGTGTGATTGAAAGCTTGATGCGGTTGTATTGAATCTAAATGCAACGGGGTCATTGTCATGAAAATCTAATTCATGGACATATTTATCAATAAACAACGGGTCATATTTAAGGTACTTTTGCGCGTAATATCCGATACAACGTCTCATACAATGTGTTTGAGAGTCGCTATTAAATGGTCGATCGCCGGCACCCGATCCGTAATAATAGCGAAAGTTCCCGTGCGGGTGACCTAAATGTGTTCTCAATGTTTTGGTTGTTATAACTGTACGAGTTTCACCAAATTTATATGCTTCAATATAATGTGCTTGGTCGAGGTTATAAATATTTGGATAAGGTTGCGAGTGAACTAAAATATAGACAGATGAGTCATCCCGTACATTCATTGCAAGTAATTTGGTAATGGTTAGGTTAGGTTAGGTTCAGTATTTATAACCCACAAAAATTATTACTTATATATTTTAGAGATATTTTAAAATTTGCATAATTTGCGTACAGTTTACTGTGGGAACACCTATTATTAGTTAGTATTAGGGAATTTAAATAATTTTTATAAAATTAAACATACAGGCTTGACAATCCCACTCAGGTATTTCATTATGCTATGAATACCTATATTAAGAAATTTAAAGTTTTATTTACAGTTTACATAAGCATATGGCACAGTAGATTCTTTAAAACTTTTTATATTATGATTTTTTAGTTTATTAGTGATATTAATGCAGCATTTCATAATCAAAAATATTACTTTATATTGTTATTTAACTAGTTTTAAATCAAATTTTATATACCTGTACATTTCTATAGAATTCAATGAATTTGTGTAAACTACAAACCTTTGTGAACATTTGCAAACAGAGCTCACCTATAGGTGCCGAGGCTGCCCTCACCCAACTGGTGTCCTACTGCCAACAAAACATGGCTTACCCTGCTTATATTATATACGAAATTTGCTTATGTTTAAATAAACTATTGTAGCAATTATTATTAAATAAAGTTATCTGTTAGTTATAAAGTATATTTTGATATATAGTAATTATTTATTTCTACAATTGAACTGCCATTTGTTAAATAAAACTGATTATATAAAGGAAACTGTAAACAAATCGACATATTAGTAACACACCCCCGCTCCCCCGCCCCCGACAAAGTGAAGTTCATCCGAATATATGATAAATTATCTGGTTAAACTATTAATTACAAAATTTATTACATGAAACCAATTGTAGATAAGGAAAATAATAATGCGAGTAACAATTTAAAAGACTAGTTAAAAATTAAAACAAATTAATGTAATTAATAAATTGTAATTTTAATTGACAATACTATTGTATATTTCTATGCTCGCCTTTTAATATAGTACAGATGACTTTAACTAATTACAATCTAAAACATCTATGTTTATTAAAATTAACTTGTTTTGGAGTTTTGTCACATATTGTCCAGATTTATATTAGGACAATTTTAGTATACTATAAAACTATCACTAGATAATCAATTACAGTTTTAACGTTTAAATAATTTGTTATTATAATTCTCGTTGAGTGCGGATATTTTATGTAAAATCTACATGTTTCATAAAATATCTCATCTACCCATGCTACCCTCACATAATTACATACTATATATAAAATAAATGCATCGAGTCAGTTATCGTTATAAGTTTTATTTACATCTAACTTGTAAATTAATAATAAAAGTTAGGATCCCATAAATGTAACTGGAAAATAGATAATTGGCACATTTTATCTTCAATATATTATTATTTTCAGGTTAGTGGTAGTACCGTATGATAGTATAAAAATTAAAATAAATAAATAATTAATTATTGTTTACAGAAACAAATATCTAAATATTATATTTTACCTAGAGTTAAAATAATTAAGCAAATGTATTTTTTATAATTTAATTTTAATATTCAGAACTAAATTACTAATTACTTTTTAACCCTAGCTTTTAAACAGTCTATAAATATAAGTTTTGTTAAATAGTAAAATAGTGATATTCTTACTTTATGAAAATTAATGTACCAGTTGATATATTGAACTCTAATATCTGATAAAATTTATTTTTATACGAATTGCTATAAGATTATAAAAATAAATGAAACATAAGGTTAGTATCGTAATATGATTGACAGTATTATGATATACTTACAGGAGGTCTATTAAAGTCATAACTAGTGTATAAACTGTATTTCCATTAGTGCACAATGTATTTTTTAAATATTTACTATCTCAATATGTCTATCTAGTACCAGGGTCAAGTCAGATGAGACATCAAACTTTAAATTTAATTAAACTTAAGTTTGTAAAATATCTCATAAATTATTTAAAAGTTTATAAAATATTTATAAGTAATAAACAATAAAGGTATATGCAATAAATCGTGTGTATATTTGTATATTGCTAACAATGGCATACAATTTCGTAGACACAAATTACCTATATTTGAATTAAGATTATTGTATCTTAGTTCATGTATTATATAATAAATTATTAATAATCATAAGCAATGTTGTAATAAAATATAACAAAAACTGTATTAACTTACACACATAAACATTGTTATTTTAAGTTTTACCTGAAATAAAATTTCAAAACTATGGATCAATTTAAAATAAAAGATTTTAAACTACTTCATTTAGTAGTAAATGATCTAGTTATCAAATATTTGATTAGATATAGTATGCTCACTTAACTTGTACTCTTGTACTCCCTTAAGAATTGCAAACTGAACTTGTTATATATGCAATTTACTGTATTAATAGATTAAAAATAATAATGATAATAAGTGTTAGAAGTACAGTACTATACCCTAGTATAATTAAAGTATCAGGAGACTTTTTCTAGGAATTATTTTTTAAAATGTGTTTAATATTATCATAAGGCTTTTGCACGACACAATAGATGATGATAACATTTTCATTGTCACACTGGGTATATAATGCGTCGATATTTTCGTAACCACTTTATATAATTCATTTATTTGAACTAGTTAATTATACTCTCAATAATAATGAAGTTATTACTCGTACTGTCGGCTATTGTTTTAGCCGTAAACTCGTTGCCAGTCAATGAAAATGGTGGTAAAAATTGGGTTGTTCTAGTTGCTGGATCAAACACCTGGTGGAACTACAGACATCAGGTACATTTTAAATTTATTTTAATAATTTAATATTTATTAATATAATATTAACTCACCCTATAGGCCGATATATACCACGCGTACCAAATAGTGAAGGCTAACGGTATCCCCGATGAGAATATCATTGTCTTCCACTACGATGACATCGCCAACAATAAGGAAAATAAGTACCCTGGTAAGGTGTTCAATAACCCCGACCACAAAGATGTCTACCACGGTGTCCCCAAAGATTACACTGGTGATGATGTCACTCCCACGGTAAATAATATTATTTTTAAATTAAATAATACATAATATGACAAGATTAAAATAAAAATAACGAGCAGTTACCTGGACCACTATAAATAATTATTTAGTGATCTAATCTTTAAATGATAAAATAGTAATTCAATTACAGTTTTATAAAATATTATAATATTTTTAATGAACATTTTATATTACACTATTTTATTAATACAATTAATTTATAAATTATTAAGTAAATATATTAAGATAAATATAAAATTTCACATTGATTAATCTCTCATAGAAATAGTCTATGACAATGTTCACACAACATCTAGTACAATCAGTAGAATTTAGTATAAACTATATTTAAAATATAATTAAATACTAAAAATTTAATATTATTTTATTTGTCCAGAACTTTTTGAAAGTCCTGTTAGGGGACAAGGATTTGGAGAGCTCTGGTAAAAAGGTGTTGAACTCGGGACCCAACGACAACGTGTTTGTCTTTTTCGATGACCATGGTGCTGTTGACCTAGTTGCTTTCCCCAAGACCTATTTGTACGGCGAGAACCTCACCTCAACTCTTAAGGAAATGCATACCCAGAACAAATACAACAAGCTCGTTTTCTACATTGAAGCCTGCGAAGCCGGTATGTTAATCTTTAGTACCTTGGTCATATTTTTATGTTATTACACTTGTTATTACAAAATTTGAGTACATATTTGTTATTGATAACTTTTTTTTGTATCAGTCATATGAATGGAAATGTTGGGTAAAATAGTCATTTGATATTAGGCACTTGAGTTTATTGTTTTCATTATCATGGTCATATCTATTGTGATGTGTCATGAGTGGCATGATCAGATAGTACAGTACATTTAATTATGTAGTCACATGATGTAGAACAATTTAATCTATAGATTTTTAATCTTGGATAACAAATATTTTATTTATTATTTTACGAAAATAATGAGTCGATAGAAAGTAAACTGTAACATATACTAACAATAATTATTAATATAAAGCATGCTTAATTTTTAAAAATTTATGGATAGTGTTGTCATTGTGTCTAATTTAGTTAATAATAATTTTTAAAATTTACAATGTGTACATTCAAAATTAGTAAAAATATAAATATTAAATATTTAAAAATCAAATTTAAAAATTATAAAAAAATACACAATTTAACATTAAATACAATACTAAATAAGACTAGTATATTACACTTGTAAAATCATATAATAGATACTAAGTCATGCTAAAAAAATAATTAACTTGCAATTTGACCAGGCTCTATGTTCGCCAAACTGTTGCCCACCGACATCAACATCTACGCCACGACTGCCTCCAGTCCCACTGAATCCAGCTATGCCTGGTATGACGACACCGAGTTGGGCACATACCTGGGCGATGAGTACAGTATCCATTGGATGGAAGAGGCAGAACAGGCCACTGACACGACTACCCTCGAGGACCAGTTCCAGTGGACCAAAACCAAGACTACCAAATCGCATGTCCAACACTACGGCGACCTGTCTATTGCCAAATTGCCCCTGTCTCAATTCTTGGGTACGTACACTAAGACTCTTATTTATATAAATCTTATGAACCTACATTTGCTACGTCGAGTAGTAATTTACCATAAGGGTATTTAGATGTTCAGTGTAAGATTATGGAGTGATAAGCTGTAAAATAATATTGAAGTATATTTGAGATTAATTATAATATTTTAAATTAGAAGTTTGGAAATCTCTCCACTCCACTAATATTAGTACTATTTTAGTAAAATCTGTCTAGGTTAATTAAATATGGTTAACTAATAAAGATTATAACTTATAGTATATTTTTTATAGATGTAGAAATATAATAATTAAAAGTAATAAGCGTGTTTGAAAAATAATTATTTTTCAGATATTTATACATTATGTGATAAAATTAAATAATATACTGGTACATTGAAATTTTTAAAAAATACATTGAATTTTGTTTAAAATTAATTAATTGTTTGAACGAAACACAGGTAAAAGAAAATCGGCGACACCTGTGACCCGATCTAACAGCCGAACCGCAGTCGACAATAAGGACGTGCCGTTGACTATGGCTAATTGGCAATAGACAGGTCGCCGTAATGCTGGACATGCGATAGAGTGGTCTTGGTTTTGGTCCACTGGAACTGGTCCTCGAGGGTAGTCGTGTCAGTGGCCTGTTCTGCCTCTTCCATCCAATGGATACTGTATTCATCGCCCAGGTATGTGCCCAACTCGGTGTCGTCATACCAGGCATAGCTGGATTCAGAGGGACTGGAGGCAGTAGTGGCGTAAATGTTGATATCGGTTGGCAACAGTTTTTCGAACATGGACCCTGGTCATTTTGAAATTTAATTATTTTCCAGTATTACATAGTGTCTAGTATTATATATTATTATATTTTATTAGGGTATGATAATTTAGCACTATTTAATATATAGTGTTAACTTATTTAATTCCTTTTTAATTTAATTTTTAATTTTTAAAATATTCTATTTATATTTTTACTAATCTATAATTTTGGTAAATTTCTAAAAATTCTTATTAATTAAATTAGCCACAACTACGAAATTACAAATATCCTATTAATACATAACTATATTTTATATGTTCTTTGAAATATTATAATTATCCAAAATAAAAAATTGTTTACATCATGTGCCTACACTATCAATGAACTATGGTTGAGGTACACACAAAGTATGTCTCGTTTTGTGTTTGCACCTCAACCATAGTTCATTATTAGTCTACACAATTATAAATTATGTAAACCTGACCAAATCTCAAAATGGCCAAAAAGTAGCCTATATTTTTGCGCCTACAGTATGAATTATATCGCCTTAATGTAGGCAACACTGTGTAGCAGTAAATAATTTTTAAATATATAACTACTGTAAATATGAATGCTTTACAGTGAAGTCGACTGTTGTAAATAGTATGTTATATTGATTATAGGCTACTTTTTGGTCATTTTGAGATTTGGTCGGGTTTACTTTAATTTATCATGTCATGCTGCTCATAGCACTTAACTGTGATAATGAAACTTAAGTGCCTACAAACCAAATGACTATTTTGCCTGGCATATCTAAACATATGACTGATACAAAAAAGTTATCTATCACAAAATTGTACTCGTAGTTTTAATGATAATAGGTGAGCTATGCAAGCAAACGTAAAAATATGTCCAAGCTGTCAATGATATACATACCGGCTTCACAGGCCTCGATGTAGAAAACGAGCTTGTTGTATTTTTTCTGGGTATGCATTTCCTTAAGAGTTGAGGTGAGGTTTTCACCGTACAAATAGGTCTTGGGGAAAGCAACCAGGTCAACACCACCATGGTCATCGAAAAAGACAAACACGTTGTCGTTGGGTCCCGAGTTCAGTACCTTTTTGCCAGAGCTCTCTAAATCCTTGTCCCCTAAGAGGACCTTCAAAAAGTTCTGTAAAAATAAAAATTAAATTAATTTTTTATTCAATAACATTTTTACATTAAGTTAAAATGTATGGTACACAAAGTTTTACGGTATGTAATAGTTATTTTTTAAAAATATTTATAAATAATTATTTACCTGAGGAGTGACATCATCACCGGTGTAGTCCTTGGGCACACCGTGGTAGACATCCTTGTGGTCGGGGTTATTGAACACCTTACCAGGGTACTTATTTTCCTTATTGTTGGCGATGTCATCGTAGTGGAAGACAATGATATTCTCATCGGGGATACCGTTAGCCTTCACTATTTGGTACGCGTGGTATATGTCGGCCTATAGGGTAAATTATTATACATTATTAGACATTAATAAAGAATTTTAAAAATAAATTTAAAATGTACCTGATGTCTGTAGTTCCACCAGGTGTTTGAGCCAGCAACTAGGACAACCCAATTTTTACCACCGTTTTCATTGACTGGCAACGAGTTTACGGCTAAAACAATAGCCGACAATACGAGTAATAACTTCATAATTATTAAGAGTATAATTAACTAGTTCAAATAAATTAATTATATAAAGTGGTTACAGAAATATTGACGGTTTATATACCCAGTGTGACAATGAAAACTTTATCAGCATTTAACTATTGTGTCGTGCAATAGCCTTATGATTATAAAAATACATTCTTAAAAAATAATTCTTAGAAAAGTTTACCTGATACTATAATTATAATGCGGTATTATACAAGTTCACCTATTATCACTATTTTATTCTTGTCAATCTATTAATATAGTACTGTATAGTATATTGCATGTGTGCCTGGTTAATTTTGCAACTTATTAAAGGTACAATGTAAAAATTCAATGAACGAAGCATTTTACTACAATCATGTGAAATAGTTTATTACTAGATAATATTTAATATTAGTGGTATTAGTGGATATAGTTTAAAAACATTATATTTAAAATTGACAAATAGTTTTGAAATCTTATTTCTGGTAAAACATTAAATAATTTACACACTTATCCAGTCAAAAGATCAGCTCCAGCATCAAGCACATTGGTTCACATTTTGCAAATTGGTAGATAAAATAGCATGTAAATCTGCCATAGACTACAAGAATTTTGAACTTATACAATTAGTAAAGCAATAAGTATATAGAATTGATTTACTGTACATACAAGTTTATCTCATTACTATAATATGCAAAATGGCTAATTTAGTAAATTTTTATGTGTAGTATTAGTAAGTTTTTAAATATTTCAAGTCTACATGTGCCTACTGTGCAAGTTATTAATTTCTGTACAAAAATATATTGCTCCAAATATATTTTTTATTAATTAATTTACATTAATAAAATTAGTATTAAACAAATATATGCCGTATAAATTGTCTTATTAATGTCTTATTAATTCAATCAGTGAAGAATTTGAGTCTAGTAACAAAACATCTAGTTCACAAACAAATAACAAATTTATGCAAACTGTAAATAAATCCTATAAACACCAAATAGGCATTCACTTTCTTAAAAATAAATCCTAACCTCATCAAATCCACTATTTAAAAATGTTTAAACCTGAACTGTTGTAATGATTAACGTTATTATGTTTTACAGTTTACTAGTACATAGTAAATACTGACTTACTAATTTTTATAAAACAAAAAATAATAAATTTATTATTCAAGATAAAAACAATCTATAAAGTTTTACATAAAGTGACTACAAGTATCAATCAAAATTGTTCAAACACATGTAACCATACACTTGATCCTGCGGGTGCTAATACGCTGTAAAACTTATAATATTTAAACTGTAATCATAACATAAATCATATATTTTACTGCATAATTAGACATAAAATAACTGTAATTGATCAAAAAAATTAAAATAAATAATTATATAAAGTAATAGTTAACATGTAACTTTATTTAACAAATTTTCACAACAGTTTATTTATACATAAGTGAATATCTTAAATAATATAAGCGGGGTAAGCCATGTTTTGTTGGCAGTAGGACACCAGTTGGGTGAGGGCAGCCTCGGCACCGGCAGGTGAGCTCTGTTCGCAAATGTTCACAAAGGTTTGCAGTTTACCCAAAACGTATGAATTCTATGGAAATGTATAGAAAATTGTGATTAAAATCTAATTAAATAATATAATTATTGATAAATTTTAAAATAACATTCTATGTGTAGACTGTAAATAAATTCTACAAATGATTAAAAGTAACATGATATCTATTAAATCAATTATTTGCTATGCGTTTTCTGTACTATTTTTATAAAATACATAATTTAATATCTCTACTTCTAATAAATTAATATTTTATGAATAATTAAATCGATAAAATTATTTTAGGTGTTTCCCAACATAAAGGTGTGTATGGACTCGCTATAAGTACGTGACCAGCACCTTTCACAGCTGTTTGAACACTATTGTGAGAGACAACAACTCGAGGCTAGCCCACAATTCCTGCAGAGGTAAGTGGTCTACGAGTTGTGAGTTAACATAGGTAGCGAAGTGTGTGTCCAAAAACTGTCGGCCCTTAACGAGGTTCTCGAGGTCCTCGCCCTTAGCCATAGTCAACGGCACGTCCTTATTGTCGACTGCGGTTCGGCTGTTAGATCGGGTCACAGGTGTCGCCGATTTTCTTTTACCTGTGTTTCGTTCAAACAATTAATTAATTTTAAACAAAATTC